TTTTTTTTTTTTTTTTTTTTTTTTTGTACCAGAGATCGAACTCGGGTCCTTGCACTTGAGAGGCAGGCACTGAGCTAAATCCCCAGCCTTTTCTGGATTTTCTTTCTCTACTCTCCTTCCCCAGTAGGCAGATAAGGAAGCTCAGCCAATATGATAACTCTACTGGGAGTTACTTCCCTTTCACCTCCATGTCCCCTTAAGGTTCCCACTGTGGACCTCTGCCTGGGCTAGGACCTGCCCCACGCATTGTTTCACATGTGGTGTTATTCCTCTCCATGAGGTGCGGCTTATGGGTAGGTATCATTCTCCTGCAAAGAAACCATCTCTACTCTAGGGCCGCAATCATTAGGAAAGCTTCTCATAGTTCCGTGTTGAATCCAGCTGTAGGGCTGTCTGCTTTGTGACAGCTGGCCTGCCAAACCCCATGTTCCCCAGAGCTGGTCTCTGTGCCATCACCTTCAAAGAATCTCTGAAAGGACCCTATGTAAGATGTGATAAGCATGAGCTTTGCCCCGTTAACTTTTCTTAGTGCTGGGTCAGACAGGCTTCTCTGTCAGAGCAGATACCTTCTCGCCCTTCCCCAGAAGCTGCTGGGTATCAGGAAGCCAGCTATGAGCAAGCTCCTTCAAAGCAAGGCCACAAACTTTCTTCCTCTTGGGCCAGACTTATACTGAACCTTTTCCCCAAGCCCCAGCCCTGCTTGCCACTTTCATGCTCTTTGACAGACTTCCTTTCTCCCTTTCCCAGCAGCTACCTTCCTGCACTCCACACAAGCTGGGCTCCTGGATATGTGAGGCTGGCCACAGCCCCATCCAGAAAGCCCTGGACTCTGGTCTCTTTCAGGGAGAGTTTGTTGGGGTGGGGTCAGCTCCCAGCAGGTTCTCTTAACTAGGGATGGAGAGATGGCAGGGACTGAAGGTCGCTGGCTCACAATGACTCTGATGCCCCAGCAGGGATCTTCCCATTCTGGGTAGCTACCTTAGGAGCGGCTCTCATATGTATTCAACACTCCACTGCTGCCAAGACGCTGCCTAAGTTGCTGAGATTCACTGACATGCCCAGATCACTTGCTTAGCTGGTAAGTGTGGCCCAATTAGGGTTCCTACATAGGTCTTCTGGTTCCAAGATGCCATTACCCATCCACACAGGCATAGCCTCAGCCCGGGTGGAGGTCGCTGTGCTGCAGCATATCTGGATGTGCAGAACGAGCCCCAGAGGCCCGGGCTGGGGCAGGATGTGGGTGAGGACCCCTCCCAGCCCTTCCACATCTGGCCCATGATATGAGTGGTTGAGACAGCCAGTAAGCCTGGTGCCCACAGTGCCCTCACCTGTACCCTGGCCTCAGTTAGGTCCGTGCGCAAAGCCAGCTGTTCCCGGGCGTACACATCAGGGTAGTGAGTTTTCTGGAAGACTTTCTCCAACTCCTCCAGCTGGAATGTGCTGAAAGTGGTGCGGTTACGACGCTTCTTGCTCTTGTTCTTGGCCAACTCCATGGAGTCAGGGAGTCCAGGGGAAAGAGGGACACGCAGACTGGCCAGGCAGGGTCCTGGGGAGCCTTGCAAGTTAGAGGGTCCGTCTCTGGGGCCCCCTCGGCAGTCCAAGGGCAGCTGGGGGAAGCTGGCAGCTTTGGAGGCCTTCTCCTCAGCTGCAATGGAAAACAAAAAGGAGGATGGAAACCAAACCAGGGAGTTTTGTGGGTAGAATGGAGGGAGGGGAAGAACGTTGACACGTCAGTCTCCGCCTCCCCTTCCCTCTTCTTTCCCTTCCCTTCCTCCCAGCAGCCACCTTCCACGGGAGCCTGGCATTCAGCGGCCTGCTTGCTGAGCCTCCAGCTGGGGAGGGGGCCCTGGGGAACCATGTGCTCTGTGGTCTGGGCGGATCTGCTGGGGCCAGAGAGGGGTTCATTTCGGGGAAGTGCTCTGTGGTGGTGCATCCCACAGGGTGTGGAGGTGCCAGGATTGGCGCCACATCAGGGACCGCCACTTTGGCAGGCCAAGAATTGGGACAGGGAATGAGGGTGGGATAGTTGACATCTCCCACCCTTGCCAGGAATCACTCCCTTGTTCCTGACTCTGCAAGCCTTGGTTCCCATGCCATATGCCCACGCCTCTGCTCCCAGGACCAGGCAGGCAATAGACAGACACAGTCAGAGAGACCACCTTTCATTGGTCTGGCTGTGCCTTGTTCTCTGAACACCAAGTCCAGGTCAACAATATCAAATCTCCCAACTCTGGAGTAGAAGGGTAAATGGGACAAATAATTTTCCAAAAGGATGGCTTCTCTCATTCCTTCCAAAGCTGTGGGGTCTAGGCAAAGACTTAATCTCCAGCAACAGACAGGTGGAGGCCAGATAGGATATGACCAGTGAAGGTGAAGTGGGGACCAGTGTCACGATGGGGTATTATTCACACATTCTTGCCTGATGTTCCCTCAGGAGTTTCTGACGGCTCTCCTATTGCCTATGATTAACAGACAGGACGGCTCTAATGCGGACTGAGAACAGTTCCCAGCAGCCCCACACTGACATGCTAACCCTCACTCAGGAAGCTTGACAGAGTCCCATGACCGACCAACAGAGCATGGTGAAAAATAGGTCGCCCTGGTCACCCCCACCCTCTCTCTGGCAAAGACCCTCAGTGTTGTTCCCATGACATCCCTCTTCAGCAGTCCTCTGGGATGGCAGCCACGATGCCACAGACGCCCCACTGACTCACACAGCCTCTTTTCTGGCCCTAGGCCCGTCTCCAGTGGAGGCCTGGCCCCTAGAAGGCCGGCTAGCAGGCACCAAGATGCAGTTTCTTCTCAGGGACTTAGTGTCAGGCTCACAGCTGCGGGTAGGGGACTTGAGAGCAGGGTTCTCAGGATCTGGGTCCCCCGTTTGACTTGTGAAGGACAATTTGGACAAGGTCCTCCTCAGTTGGAAGGTGGTTAACGACCTCCCAGGACCACCCAGACCATAAAATAAGCTCCTCATGTGTGTCCCAGAGGCCTGGAACAGCCAGAAAGAGGTTGCCCTCCAGCTACACCCAGCCTGTAGGAACAGCCAGACACCAGATTTCACAACTCAGGTGAAATCTAGAGGAAGAAACAAAGTCTCTGCCTTCCAGTTTTGGCCAACATATTTTATTTCTAGGGGTAATTCCACTTGGGAGGAAGGAGGACTCATGGAAGTTGAATGAAATAACTGAAAATAGAGCAGGGAGGCTGCAGGAGGCACCCTACACATGGCAGACTCCCAAAATGGCCTGAGAAAGAAGTCTTGGTGTGTGGGTTCTCAGGAAGGCTGTCCTGGACTCCAGGCAAAAAAAAAGAGGGGGTAGTTTAGGGCGGTGGTTCAGGGAGTACTGCAGGGAGCTCCCCAAAACCTTGGGCTTGCTCATCTCACTCTTGCACCCTTAGTATCTGTTTTAATACAATCTGCCCAGAGAAAATACTAAGATCAGAGACTTGGGATTTGCTTTCCTGATAGTGATTCACCCAGCTGTCAGAGTCGAGGGATGAAAGTGCCATAGGGTTTTTCAGAAGAGCTGCTCCCTAAGTGAGACCAAGCCCACTGGTCTCTGCTTACTTCCCATGCCTACCCAGCCTACAGACAGATCTCTCAAAGGACCAGAGAACCATTCCCCTCCTGGATGTGCTGGAGGACTCCAGGGGGTGGGCAGTTTGATTCCTCGTTGAGAGATAGGATCGCTTCTCAAAGAACACCAAGCAGCCTCCTGTGGGAGAAGGCCCAGCAGACAGCCAGACAGAAATGGGGTAAAATGGGAGTCTGCAATCAGGGAAAGGCAGCCCAGGAGTGGAAACCAGCAGGTTAAGTCCAGGCTTGTCAGGGGAAGGCTGCTCTGGTAAAAAGACACATGTGAGGTGTTTATAGAGACCTGTGCACCTGATTTATGTTGGGTGGGTGACAAAGAGTATCCACGTTGGACTCTAGGAGCCTGAGGCTCAGCACTCTGAGCGTCCTTTACCTGTGGCGGTCTGTCCAGAGTGAAAAGCCAGGAGTCAGGACTGGAATCTTTAATATGCCAAAGAGCTCTCTGACCCTGACGAGTCCTCATACTTGCCCCGCCACTGGCCTCAGAGGTACCGGAATTTCTACTAAATCCTGCCTCCTAGCAACAGCGCTTCGAGGCCGTCCCAGGACAGCTCACAGTGCCCAGATGGATGACTTCCATTGCGGCAGCGCAGCAAGACCCAGCATCCGGCAATCACTCATTTCAAATTTGCTCCGCATAGTCGCTAAGCGAGCCGCGGAACTTCTTCAAGCATGGGCAGCGGCAGCTTTGGCCAAAGGTCCGAAGCTGCTGTGTTTATAAACGTGCGCACGATCAGGCGAGACCTTGGTGCTCTGCCTAAAGGTTTTCAAATTTGGCGTAGAGGCCTTAGAAAACGTCCCCCGCTGGTCCGGTCGTCGGGATCGAGATTGGCTCCGCCGGCCAAACTTTATCAGGAGTAACTTCCAGAGGGCGGTTGCAAAGACAGGGAGCGGGCTTAGGGATAGACCGGTGACCCCAGGGGAGTAAGAAGGAACCGCGGGGCACCTCCTCAAGCCCTCCAGGCAGCCACGCGAGGAGGGCGCGAAGGTGATTGGCACCACTAGGACACCGCTCTGGTGCAGAGCAGGGCTGGGCTATGCGAAGGGCGCGGCCCGAGGCGCGCGGGAGTCCAGCTAGAGAGAGGCGCGGCGGCGCGAGA